TATATATATATATATATATAGGTTAGGCCAAGATATATTTCTCGCACGAGCAGTGAACCAGGATAGTTGTCACCGATTGGTGCTCTAGTTTTTCACGAAAAATTAGACAACGCCCAGGAGTCCACAGTCGATTCCACTCGTAGATAAAAAAAAAGAGGAAATCCTGGGCGGACGTAAACAATGACTATCCCTCCACCTGGGAGCCTTGTAGATAAGAACGCGACGTGCGAATCCGTTTAATAACTAGTACGAACCGCTCTCCAGAGCTTGGTTGGTGGCGATTTGATGAGCCATCCTTCGTAGACGATTTCCTGGGACGTCTTGAGCACTTCCATCTCTTCCTCCACTCAGGAGATGGTGGATAGTGGCCAAGGCGGCGCGATCGCTCTAAATCGCTTGATTGCTCGCTTGCTCGATCGCTTGTTGTGAGTGATCTACGATCTCAGTGGCGTGAGGAACATTCTGGAAAAGCGCGAGGAACCACCGACGACGGAGACGACGACGCGTTCATCAACCATTTGTCTATTTTTGGCCCCAACGGCGCAACACGGAGAAACAAGCCCCTCACGCACGTCGACTACCCCCTCTCTTACCCTGATCTTCACTGAGTCTTGTCTCTTCTATTCTTCACGTATGCAGAGTGACCTGTCTCTCTTACACGCGCACGCGCGACGGTACCGACACGCGGAGAAACGGAGCCCGGAGCTCGGAACAGGCCGCAACGGGACACTGCAGGTCTCGCACAAAGACACGCGCGAACAGCGAACGGCCGAACGGCGATGGGACCGTTTTCCGTCTCGCCTCGTCCCACCGCGTATGCTGCAATTCCCACCACTCGCTGACTCGCCGTCGTGGCCACGCGTGCCAAGGCTCGCGCGACTCGCGAGTGACATACTCCGGGGCACAGTTGACGGTGACAGCGCAGTAACGTACGAATCCCCGCGGTCGCCCGAATCCTCGATTAGGCGTTGCCCAGCAAGCAGAACCATAAACCATTATGATATCAAAATGATGTCAAAATGACTCCAAATGATCATTAAAAGTTATTTTTCAATCATTTCCGATTCATTTTAATGTCATTTTGATGTTATCGTGATTTGTTGTTCTGCTTGGGATAATGTTCATTTCTATCAATGTAGATTCTATCAATATAGATGTAGAAACTTTAATCTTAAACTTACTGTTTATCTTTTACTATTTCTAAGAATTAAAAAAAGATAAAGAGTAAATTAAATAGAGATTAAAGTTTATCTACATTGGTAGAAATGGAGAAGAGTCGTAATAAAGTCGTAATGTTATCATAGAATGTCATCATGATGTTATTTAAAAATGAACTTAAGTGACAAATAAGGTCCTAATGATCGATGTCTTTATGATATTATTATGCTTTGTATGTTCTATTTGAATGCTTCTTCCATCTTACTCTGATACTCTTCGATATATCTTCCTTTGATCAAAGAACAAAAGAAAAAGACATCGCACGGTTCCAATCAAAGTTTAATAAAGAATTGGCGCCGGAAGTGATCGCATCAGAGATTGAGAAGAATTTTGCGCACGCGAGTTGGAGAAGATAGATATTCTTCAAGTAGAATCAATCATAATGTCAAAATGAACGATGACGTTAAAATGAGTCATCAATGTCACCATCATTGATCGAAAAGTAACTCCCAGCAAATAAGCTGATGTTGAAGATATCATCTTTTTAAAGATGTCAAAATGGTGACAAATTCTAGCTTTCTAGAATTTTTAATAATCATTTTGAAATTATTTTGACTTTTTTTTTGTTCTGTTTGAAAATTTGTGTCCCTAGATAATAACACGGAAAGACATCAAATCCGTTAAATAGTTGATTGTTTTATTAGTTTTACGTTTTTCCCTGGAGATTCGAAGGCTATTAATTGTGAATTCTTATTTCAAGATCATCTTAAGTAATGTCTTAAGACATTACGGCTTTGTGATTGGTTTATATGATATCTTAAGATTATACTTAATACGATTTGAAATATCCATACAATACCGAAAATTTTCAGAAACATATCAGAAATATTTCAACTGAAAATTAATGACATTTCATAAAAATTGCGAAATATGTCTGCAACATTTCTGAGATAACTCTGGAATAGCAAAATGTTCGCGATATTTGCACAAACCTTGTTGAAAGAATGAAGAAATGTCACAGAAAGAATCTGCAATCTTTTTGAAATATACCAAAAAAATTTTAGCTATTTCTATTACTACAAAAATGATATTTAAATATACTTGATTGATACTTAAATAATATTTAAATTTATTATGTTGATATAATAAATATAAATATTATTTAAATATCAATGAAACATATATATATATATATATATCTTGTTTCTAAAATACTTAAAATTTATTAAGACTTTTTTGTGATCTGTTCACAAGATTACTTATTGAAATAAACTTATTGAAATAAACTTAAAGTATTTCTTAAAAATAATTATCATATCGCCAATTATTTTGATTAATTAAGCATATTATATGTATAAAAGCGCACATATATATTGTACATAATCACTATTAAAAAAAAATCACACCTGCAGTTTCCACACAATATCATTATTCATATATAAAAGTTTTTCGCAATAACAAAATAATGTTAAATTGAATCGTGATTGACCAAAAAATGACTTTTAGTAAACATTTTGGATTTTAACATCATAATGATTTTTTGTACTGTTTAAATATGTTTTTCAATTTATTGCATACGATAGATTTTAGAAACACTTCTGTTAAAACATTTCATATGACATATCGCAAAATCCTTTCAGAACTGTTGTACATGAACTTGTTGTACATGCGAGATGCAAAAAGTTGAAACATTTTTGAAAATTTTCTGTAATAATTGGTTGTATGAATATAAGAATCGACAATGTGAATACTAGCTATATCATTGTCTGGATAAGGATGACAACTTTTGATCAGCTTAACAATAACTTTTAATAACTTAAAATGAGTAAAATAATATAAGTTAAAATGAGATAGCATATACTATAAAAAGAGACTCTATATATATATTGTATTTATATCCTTTTGTCTTAGCCTTATTTTAACAAAATTGCTCGTGATCAGACTCTATTATAGGGGCTGTGTTTCAAATTTACTACTAGCAAAGCTAGCCTTGAAAATACAGTTTACGTTATGTACACTAGAGATTTTTGGTACTAGCAATCAATTTTGGAACACAGCTGGGGTTTCTAATCTTTCTCCTCCGCCCCTGTCGCGCATCGTCGATTGTCGACAACTTCGCGCTGTCCACCATTACGATCGCTCGCATACGGAACGCACGATCACTCGTGACCGCATTCACGGCGTTCAAGAATGAATCGGTGCTGTTACACCCATCTCGCTTTCTCGGTGAGTGCCGTCTCCGATATTCGAAAAATTTCCAATGATGCGTTCAATCTTCCGTCATGAGATGCAGAGCGTTATCGAACATATGCGCATTTCCCTGCACATTCTTTTACAGTGTTTTTCCGCCAAGCTATCAAATGCTTATTCGTTCGATTCATTCGATTCGCTTGATGTCCCAAGTAGAACAAAAAGTTATCATGACATCAAAATGGCTCCAAGATGGTTATTAATTCTTAGTACACACAATTAGGTCATTCATATCCCGCGCATTTCTTTTCTTTGAAATATCAGAAGTATTAAAAGTAATTAATTATAACAATTAATTATATACAATCTTTTAAATACATAACTTTACAAATACTTTCTAAAGATGTTT